GTAATGATTCCTTAATAGTCCTTAATTGACAGTAACTCGCAAGAGAAACTGCTTAGGCTTTTGAGTTCTCTTTCTCTGTGAGGGAGTTCCTTGACCTAGGCTCACGACGCTTGTAGGCTTGTGGTATAGTTCAGTTCAGTTCGTACTCGCATCAAGTTGTGGTCTCTGGCCCTTTCAATTATTAGTGGGGGCTCGTATCTTGATTCCGTTGGTATAGTTATATCGGCACTGCCTCGAAGTCCCATCAATTGAGTAACAAGAGGGTTTTGTTGTCTTTTAGTATTTTTGTAATGGCAGTAATATCAATCAATAGTTTTGCACAAGGATTAACATTTAAGATTGGTAAAGTATTGATATAAGGATAGAGTAGGTATTATAGAATTATTGAAGGCTAAATAAGGAAATCAATAAAAAAATTATTACGAGAGTGTATTGTTGTCATTTAGTATTTTTGCAAGGGCAATAATGTCATTCAAAAGTTTTGCACAAGTATTGACATTTAAGAGCCGTATAGAGTATTGATATAAGGATAGATTAGGCATAATAGAATTATTGAAGAGCAGATAAGGAAATCAAAAAATTTTCTCCTTAAGCCACTTTTAGAAGTAAATAGTTGATACACACGTGCGTGGTGCGTAATTTTTTATAGTTTTTTGTTTTGAGACATAGATATATCTATATTAATGTACACTATGATGACATTTTAGCCAATGACCAAACATTGTTAATTCCTTGGCTAGTTCCCTATAAATTTATTCTCACATTTTACACCGTGCATGTAGAGTGCGACTTAATATGTCCTTCTGTTGCCTCAACATTATGCAAATTTTACAAACTTATTGTTTACCTAAAGCATTTTCAAAGATCAAAGAAAACCAAACAATGCACAAGCTTCCTTTTGTTTAAGTCCCAGAACTTTGATTTGTTTACTTATTTTTCATTCATATGTTGATATAGTTAAAAAAAATGGCAATGAGCCAACACAAACTTTGAGCATTGCCAGAAAGCCCTACTATGTTGGGTGGTGACATTATTTTCTCTACAAAGGAATTTTTTGGTAAAGTATGAAAAAAAAACTAACAAAAAGATGATATTTTTCTTTGTTAGCCCTGCTAATTAAATTGCTTAGTACATGAAGGGATAAGAGTTAAAAAAAAAAATAGTGTATGCCCAAAATTGTACACAGTGGAAAAACCTTAGGTCACCATATAAATGAATACATAAAAGACTCTGAAACGGTATAGAGCTTGGAAATAGCCTCAACCACCATAAATAAATACAGATATGAAACATCCATACCGTGTTTTTCTTTGAGTTATTTGGGGTCATTCCAAAATTTAACTTTTTCAGTGTCATACAGAATAATGATTCCTCTCATAGATCTTGCTTTTGAGTTATTTGTAAATTTGTAAATAATGATCTTGAAAATAGTTAAACAAAGTGTAAAAATAAAATAATAAAACTTTATATGTGTAACGTTGTGTTTGGCTGTACCATAGTCTTACTCGTTATTTGGTCGTTGCAATTCCTAGATAAAATTAATGAAATCCTTGGCTTACATAAACTTGCAGGTTTTCATGTTTCGATCAAATGGTACGCACTGTCTAAGATTGAATGATAATCTCATTTTCCTTTTGCACCTAGTGGGTTAATCGCAACTTCACCCATGATTTTACTCTAGCAAGAATGATTGTTACTTATAAGAAGCATGCTTATTGTAATGTGATGGTAACCGAAGCATTAGCAATGTAAATTTTGGCATGTTTGTCATGAAAAGCGGAGGAGTATAGATTGCATAGTTGCATCTTGATAGTGAGATCTATCTTCTGACTCTTTTGTAGTTAAGTTTATTAGTTTCTTGAGTAGAGTATTGACTAATGGTGTATGGAAATTCTCAGGGGTGTTCATGGGCCGGGCCGGGCTAGGCCCACAAAATGTTTTTCGGGTCAAACTAAGCTACTCACGAGCCTATTGAGTAGGCTTGTGGGCAGGCCTTCTGGGCGGGCTTGCTCACAAGCTTTTTTATATACAACTTTATTTAAAAATAATGAATATTTTTGTAACTTAATATTTATATAAATTATATTTTTGAATTAAAAATAGAGTCAAAATGGATAAAAATAAAATAATGAATAATTTTGTTTTTGATTAGGGGATGAACTACATTCAATAGAATGAATACATTCCAATTAAGTTGACACTTATTCACTTATATTTCATTTGTATTGCTCTACGCTTTAAAACTTGTATGCTTAATACACGGAAAAAAAAATAATACATTATTTATAGTACAAATTTTGACATTTAGAGACTTATTTCGAAATTTTAAATTTAATGGTCTAAAAGAATAATTTTTTTTTTTAAAGAAAGGGTGGGTGGGCTATTAGGCTGGGTAATGGGTTTGGGGGTAAACCGAAGCCTTTTTTTTTTTTTAAGGATATTGGGCTCGGGCGGGCCAATTATCGGGCATATCGGGTTTTGGGCTTATTTTTTTGGGTCAGGTAATGAGACCCGTGGGTAACTTGACCCATACACCCCTAAACATTCTTATACTCTCCTAACCCAAATTTCCTTATATATATGAACACATAATAGATCGATATCTTCATTTTAAAACAAAAAAAGGCTAAAAACAAATTCAACTTCTATAAATGTAGCCTAATCGTCCATGTAATTTTAACATTTATATAGCACATTGATGGTCATGATTACAATGATTTATAGCTTAAGCATGTCTTGAGCTGGAAAAGCCATATAGTGTTTCCTCAGAATCGAATAATTTCGTTCTTGGATATTACCTACTTGAGTCTTATCACGTTCATTAATCACAATATCCAACACAAGTTGTTTGCCATTGCTATGGTAGACCCCAAATTTTTCAATCAAAAAAGCCTAAAAAAACAACCTCAAATAATAGTCTTAGCTTGGTTTTAGAAGATGAGAAAATCACATTTGGGTAAATATTTTCCTCTTTGACAATGATCAGCATATTCCAAAAAGAAATGGTCATATTGGAGCCATATAAATTAGTCAATTAAAGTCTCAGTTATGCAATGTATGTAAATTATTGTTAGGGGCATCTAATGAAGACTTAATTTTTATTTTATTTTTCACTAGAATGAAGGCTTAATGATGCATTATAGATTTTAGCAAATGTGTCACAATTGCAGATTGCTCATTGAAGTTTGTAGACCATGTTTTTTATGAAAAATATGAAAATAGATTATTTGACATCGTTTTAGGGATACAATGTTTCACTTTTGTACTTCTTTAGCCCACTTGAAAGCATATAATCAACATGATTTTAAATGAATTCATGGAAGCAAAAGTTCCTCCAAGGTGTTGTTAAGAGTTCCAAATAAGTACTTTGCCCTTTTGTTTGAAAGATAGATTTGTAAGTTAAAGTCTAACTTCAAAAAAATACTTGTTAGCAAGTGTGTGAAGAATTGCATCCATCTCCAAAACATTCACAAAATGAAATAGTTCTCACTTTAAAAGATATGGTTGTTAATGTCTCTCCCATGCACATGACTTACTTGATTAGGCCTTTATCGGGATTTCCTTTGTAAGGAACTCTTCCTAAAAGTAGAAGTTCATCTAAATCTTATTTTCATAATATTGATCCTAATTCAACTTTTCATATCTTTAAGTTAAGCATATATGAATTGGAGAATTCACAACGTCAGTTACTTGGTGGAAACTGTCGACCTATACATAAATTACCATTATATAATGAATATAGAAAGTAACATACCAGTCTATTACAATCTCACATAGAAGAAATAAAGAAAGAACTGAGTATTGAGTACATAATGTTGAGCCAACTAATGGAGAAATGGTCCATTGGTAAGCTCCTATACAGGTTTTAGCACCATTCAGTTGCTACAAACATAAACAAACTACATTTATTGAACACAATCACTTTGTTTTCGTATCGAATTGCATTTTAAAAAGCACTATTCATAGTTAAAATAACACATAAAAGGAAAACCTCAACAACTTCTAACTCCACCGAGAGCATAAACATTGGCTGCACTGCATCGACTTTGTTGGGTTGCCCTGTCAAACATTTCTCCACTATCACATCACCTATTGTGTTTCATATCCACACAAAAAGAACTCCAAATTTCAAATTGCAACACACATGCATGTACAAAAAACAACAAATTTACTTGAAAATTTGAAAAAAGTACTTACCTTCAACTTCAAGCAATGGTGTCGGAGCATTATCCCAGCATGAGGAACATTAACCAGGGGACCAGAACATCCAATCCAAAGTTGAGTATTATGTAGATCATTTTGCTCACCCAAGGACAAAAACATACCTACATTAGCAACACATTAACATACCATGTCTGTCTGTATGTATGTATATATGTATTTTATAGAGGTAGAGATGTAGTAGCTAGTATTAGGAATGAAGTGTCTGAAGACTAATAGTCAAGATGTTTTCTAGAGAAACACTATTGTACCTAAAAGCATAGAAAGAGAAGGAACTATCTGACTCAATATTAATAATTGTATTAATTAACAATTAATTGATTGTATGATAAAGGGGCAATTGGTTACAAATTAGAAGATGGAGTGGCAGTCGGTCACAGAAGTGGTTAATTTTTCAAGCGTAACAATTATTTGAGAAAATGGACGCTAAAGAGTTTTAAGTCAATCTTGAACATTTAATTGATTAAAAGGATGTTAATGTCATTTTCATTTATTATAGGGACATTTTAGGTAGTCAAAAGTTTTTCCATCTTGATATTTTAAAGTAGTATAGATATAGATTAATGTATTTTGATTTTTTTTTGAACCAATTTATGTGATTAATTGTTATAATATGTGGTTTGCTTTGGGTGTGAATATAAATATGTTTATGGTTGACAGTTTGTTTTGTTAGGCACGGGCAATTCTTATTATATATTATAATCGTCAAGGGACGGGCAATTCTTATTATATATTATAATCGTCAAGGGACATTCGGCAAACTCACTCGGATTGGAGAAATGGCGAGACCAACTAGGCAAATAGGACCATCGTCCACCCTACCTACCAGCACCACGACCCTAACCCTAGAAAACCCATCTCCACCCCCGTCCACCTCACAACCTCGGCAAACCCTAACTCTACAACTACAACGCAAGAATAAGAAGAAGGTGACGTGGAAAGAAGGCACCGTTGACAACGAGTTTTTGGAGAAGAAGTCCTCCAAGAAATGCTGTATTTTTCACAAACAAAAGCCCTTCGACGAGGATGACAGCGACGTCGACGAGGATGATGATAGGAATGCCAAGGATCCGTCCGGAAAGGATCATAATCATGGTCATAATGATGATGCCAGTACGAGCCAATTTTGTGGGCATTGATTGTTTTCTGCAAGTCTAATACCAAACTAAAATTTGTTGTGAAGTGTTTAGAATTTGGTGTTTTGGTTTTGATTTTGATTTTCCAGGGTGCCATGTATAGTTTGAGATGGGGAATACTTTTGAATTTTAAGATTCTGGAATTTGGGGTTCAGATGATAAATTGGTATTTGTCTAATTTTGTAATTGACCGTTGTTTTTATTTTGCTTATTTTGGATTACTATCACATGTTAAGTTTATTAGACTGTTTGATGTCTGTGCAGTTTGAGAGTTTTGGTCGGATGACAATATTGTTTTGTGTTCTTTGAGTGCGAAATGGGAAAGCCTATGCCTGTAGATGATGAATGTGACATGCTGTTTTGATTGTGTCAGTCAAATTTTCCATGAACACTGGTGCATAACATAATTTTGTGTCATTGTATTTCGGTTTAGTTCCAATTAATGTGCCCTTCAAGGCAATAAGGGATTCATGGTACATAAAAGCACACAAAAAAGAACACTGGATTATGGAATTCCAACTTGGAGTGGTATTTGTTGCTGATAAAAAATAAAAAAAAATAAAAATTCTAGGAATGGTATTTTTAGAAACTTTAAAAGAGCTGGATCCGTATCATTTGAGATGTTATTACCCATTGTAATGTGTAGTTTGGAAGGTGGTTTAAGATTCCCTAGGTACTTCATAATTTCTTATATGGTAAGACTAACATTGAAAACTAGATTTTTGCTTAAACTTGTTGGACCAACAACTGATGTCTTCCTAGATTACTCTCTCTCCTTAGATTCGTTTTCCCAAACTCAGTAGGTGTATGTTCATGAGTTTTTTTTTTCTCTCTCGGGAATTGTTTTAAGCGATGATCGATCCGATTTGGGTCACTGACTGTGGTCACTAGCTAGTTTGACAGTGACTAGAGAAGTTTGTTCTTCCCACATTAATTACTGATGAAATCTCTTTACTAATTGAATTTCTACTGTTCATTATCTGTGGATGTTTAGTGACCATAACATATACTAATTAAGCAAGGAGAAAATTGTTATTGTCACGTAAGTTTTGGTAGTTTTTGCGGAAGTTTTGTGATCGTTTCGACTTTGATTCATGTCAGATTTTAATAGGGGAATAGACTTTTTTTTGTCATGTTTACTTGAACCTCTTGGTTGGTTTTGAGAGATGGAGGCTAAGGTTGGTCAAAAGATTGTTATTGGTTTAACAACGTAAGGTGATCCTATTGGAGAAATGCACCATATTGGAGTTCATGGTTTTGACAACTTATTCTCAAATACGGCTAGTGGCTGGTTGAATTTTTTTTTTTGGGTTCATGGTTAGGAGTATTTAGATTTGTTTACGTTAATCTCGTCTTCGGTCAGATAAAAGGTAGGCCATCCGCACCGAAATTAAAGTATTCATGAAAAATAAATTTATCATGATTTAGTTTTAAGAGATTACTAATATTCAAATTCAAAACATATGAGGCTGTTGAACTTCAATGTGAATACTAATGAAGAAATTCTTAGAACTACTATGATGCTGGAGAAATTAATAGAAGTGGGGCAGAGGAGGGACTCACAAGCCGACACCAGGGATGATCATAGTCAATATCAAACATCGAATTTTGAGATTTGATGTTGTTCTACATCTCAATAAGTGAAAAAATAGAATTTTGAGATTTGATATTTTTCTACGGCTCAATAATCGAAGTCTCAACACTTTCGTAGGACAAGTGGGTAAACCTGATATGTTTGGCATATATTGAAAATGATGTTTCTTGATGCGTGCGAATTAGAATTAGAATTGGAATTGGAATTGGCTTCTTCTTTCTTTCTTGTTAGAAATGGTGTGCATGTATCTTTTAGTTTCACACAGCTTTGTTGAATGAATTTTTTTTTTGGGGGGGGGGGGGGGGGGTAGGGCATACATCATACAATAATACCAGGCGTAGAGCCAAGATTGTATTTTAGTGGGGGTACGACATATTAAAGATTAAAAAAATTAGGGATTAAAAATTTTTCGACGTCATCCCGAAGTTATCTTCTGCTTGCAAGTTTTGTTTTCGATTCGTAAAACTAATGTGGCCTGTGGAGATGAAGCCCAAACTACTACTGAATCCTTTGCTTGCCACTCCTCCCATGATGGCTGCAAACTTGGCAAAACATATCGGCTGAGAGGCCCAAGATTTTCCATAAATTGCTCCACCCTGAACTCCAATTTTGTTTATAATTAAGGCCCACACTATTGTTCTGTAAGTCTGACAGTTGATTGGATTTTGATTTCAATCCTATCGGAATTTGAATTCAATTAGTTAGATATACACAAATAGTTAACCAAAAATCAAATCTAAATCCACTAGTTTATTTATCATATTTTATGAATTCAAATGTAGCATACCACTAGGCAATATTCCCTCCAAATGGGATATATGTAGATAAATGTATAAAGAAATTAAGTGATTATATGATGAAACTTAGATGTAATTTGTCAAAATATAGTTTAATTGAGTCATTTGGATTGCACCGTGTTTTTCAAACTGTTACTACAATGGTATTTGGATTGTGAAATTCAATTAGTTCGATATCAAAATCAGAGTTTTTTAAATTCGATTTTTGATTTGAATCAATCAAAATCGGACCCGAAGCTGACCTACAGTTGGGCTGGGTTATTCGATGGATAACCCGTCCTCTTCTTTTGGGTCATCATCATGCAATATCTGAAATGAATAGCATGATAAGTTGATAAACATACCATATAGTTTAGATGCGTACCCACCATCATATTGTTAAGACTATTCCTTCTCTAGTCTCTTTTATGGCTCTTAAGTATAATTGAGGATAGATACTCTGGCATAATGCCATATATCTTTCTGGATTTCCATCTTTCCTTAGATAGCTTCAGCTCCTTTGGTAAGAGAACCTTTGTAATGAAATGTAAGATTGGTGTCATGCCAAGGTAAATATGCTATTCAAACTAACGTGGTAATAGTAATGAGACGGTGATTAAAAATGAATCGTAAGATTTCTCTCCATTTTAATTGTTACGAATTGATACCAATATCGAATTCTAAATAATTTTGGATAATTCGAGAAATTTGTGTTAGAGTTTTAATTGAGATAAAATTTTCTTGTGAAAATGACAAGCGATACCACTTGGGAGGGTTTCCGTTGGAGGAAGGGTAGTGTGATTTGACCAATGTGCAGGAGAGCTTGCAGGAACCCTTTTTTTGACCAAGCCCAAAGCAAGGAAGAGTAAAAAATAATTAATACATGACATGTGTGTTTTTTCTATTCAAAATTGAATTCTTTCAAAATGAGTGGATCCATTGCTTTTGACATCATCTTACCTATAAACTAACCATGTAGGATTGGGAGAATCCAAAACAAAACAACAATGACCGATTGGAATACCGATTCAACTTTTCCTCTTAAGGTTGAATTGCGAGTTTTTAAGTTTATACTGAAACTCAGTAATTGATAGTCTAATTATATTCGTTTTCAAGAAGAATAACATGTGCGATCAAGAATTTCATAATCTTATCAATGAGGGCCTATTGAGGTGGTCTTTGAGTGATTTATTTTGCACCCACCCTTTTTTTTCCAAGCCAAAAAACAAAAAAAAATCATGTTGGAAGTTGCAAGGATCTATATTCCTTTCTTCTGTCATACTGTTTTTTTTTTTGGCATAGATAGGGGACAAATTGGGATCCAAAATTATTAATTTTGCATAAAATTTACATGAATTGTATGTGTAGGGTGATAATTGAACCGAGTTACAGGGTTTCGGTTCGGACTCGATCAAACTTAACTCGTGTTCTAAACAAACTAGGCTTGAACAAAATTTTAAACTTGTTTTCTAAATATTCGACTTGAGCTCATAAAGTTCAGCACGTTTATATGTAAAATAGTCGAGCTAAATGAGTCGAATTTGAACAATTTTTTAAGTTTGTTTAAAAAAAACAAAACGATCTCGACATGTTCAATTCAAGATTGCAAAATTTGACTAAATTATCAATATGTAAAATTATTATTCTTACTTCAGCCGAATCTCAGACGTATAGCCTTGTTAATTGATGTTGACTTTATTTCTCTTTTGGTGAGTTGAGTGTCCCTTGGCTGACAATACTGTGTTTCATCTGTTTTTGATAGTCAAGAATTCCCCCAAGTGCACTCTCAACTATTGAAACATATAATCAGAAAATTGCAAGGATATTTTCGTCAAATTAATTAAGATTAAGACTGATATCGAATGGGTAGATAAAGCAATACATCAGCAGATAAGTCGGTTACTATTATTTTTCTTGGTGAATGGTCCAAAAAATCCTTCGGAGTTCCACACCATGTTTATCCAAAAAGAGAAAAGAAGAAGAAGAAGAAGAAGAGGAGAAAACCTGGCCATGTTATGGATTTGGATCAATGAATCCTCTTTTTTGGGAAATTACCTAATCTTTTGTGCTTCTAATCACCCACAGTTCATTTGATGGACCCACTGTATATCACACATGGCCCACATCACCTTTTAATAATGAATCACAACCACAAAGTGGAACTCAATTCGGATTCGATTTGTACAGAGTTAAGTTAATGCTCGACTTATTTTTGAAACGAGTCGAATTTGGACAATTGTTTGAGTGAGACTTTTTTACCTCTTAAATCTCATTTTTCTCACTCTTTTTAATCATTTAATTTCAAATTATGAAGTTTATCTCATCTATATCCATCAATTAGTTACTAAACTCCGTCCCATCTATATTCACTAATTAAAAACTAAATTCATTTAATTTTATTTCAATCTACTGTATAGATAAAGATCAAAATTTTGTTTTGGTTTATTATTTTGATATGAATATATTTCAAAAGTAGAATAAAATTTAATAAAGATTGAATAATTATTTTTAAAATATTAGTAAAAATATATCAAAATATTTTAAAACATTTAAAAAATTTCAAAGACATTAGTGAAAATATCTCGAAATAATATAGATCACCTTTATAACATTAAAATTTCATTTTAATTACTATTTTAATTTCTAGTTCTTTGATATATATTTAATAATTTAATTAAATAAATATAAATGACATACACTTCGTAATTAATGGAACAAATATAAATAATGTAAAAAAAAAAGAATAAATATAAATGAGTGAACTTATTAGTTTGAACTGAAAAAATTAAATGGAATGAAAAAAAAAAATTGAAGGACAAAATAACCTCAATAGACTGAACTCGGTCAAACTCCACTCAATTAACAACTCTGCAACCACGTAGCATAACACCACACCTATAAATAACCACAAGTCACAACTATTTCTGTACCTGACACACTGAAGAAGGTTCAGGGGAAGTTTAGAGAGAGAGAGTGTACAGAGAGAGAGGGGGATCATGGCGGCGGAGAGAGACATAGATGATCTGCCAAAGAACGCAGCGAACTACACAGCTCTGACGCCACTTGGGTTTCTGGAGAGAGCTGCTCTGGTTCATCCCAACCGTAAATCGGTAGTTCATGGATCCGTTCAGTACACATGGCTTCAGACTTACCAGCGTTGCCGTCGATTGGCCTCTGCTCTTTCTAACCACAGCGTCGGTTTTGGTAAAACGGTAAATCTTATCACTTCTACATCTATGTTGTTTTTATTTTCGCCCTCTCTGCTGTTTGTTTGCCCTGAATACTTGGGAAACGAAAGGAAAATTTTGAAAACAACGTAAAAAAAAAAAACTGGGTTTATTTTTTTTTTTATTTTTCTACTTCCTGGAAAAATTGAAATTTTGGATATTTTCGATGAGTTTCTGGAAATATGGGGTAATTAATTAGCAGTACATTGTATTTTTCTTCTTGTATATTCTTATCAGATTCGATTACATCATATGTTATTGGGTATTTAGATACAGTTCTCCTAGATGCATTGGATTGTGCTTTGGTTTGGACGATTGGGCTTTAGTAAAATACTATATTTATTAAAATATAGTGCAAAGTCGGTGGGCCGATGTATAATTTTATGATCTCTTGAATAGTCCAACCTTTGGTGAATGTATTGTGATTGGAGAAAGGATAAAGGTGTTGACTTCAATTATAACAATTTGCATTTAGCTCAGAAGAAAAAAAATGCAATAATGGAGATGCAAATTTCCAATGGCAAATCCTTTGGGTGGTTCTGGTAACCTAGAGGTCTTATGTTCAACAATTTTTATATTTGTTCGGGCCATGTACCCTTGTTACTTAGGAGACATGTTATAAACACGCTTGGGTTACGGTGGCTACTCATCACAAGCTTAGACATCTTGTAGCAAAAAAAAAAATCTCCAATGGCAGAGTGTGGTCTCATTGACTTGAGCTCTGTATCATATGGCAGTGAGAGTCAACAATTTTTGGTTAGCTTGATTTCACTTTGCACATGACAAAGCTCGTGTGAGGCCGGGTGACTTATTTTACAGTTGGATGCCTGTCCTTGAAAAAAAAAACAGACAGCCTAGTGGACGGGCTTCCTGTTATTGTGGGATGTGGGGAAAGTTTGATATGCACAACTTTATTTTGCATGCGGAAAGGTTTTTTCTGCAACTCGAACTCCAGTCACAATGAAACAACCTTGCCATTGGCCTTGAAAGAGTTACTATTGTAATTTGAAACTGAAAACCTAAGCAGTTTGTGGAATCCAATTCTCGTGGAAACTAGCATTGATCATGCCTTGATTGCATTTAAGCCAGAATTGTATAATAAATCTTTCATGACACTTTGATCTCATTGTATGAATATAATTCTGTTTTTCAGATAATTTAGAAAATTTTCCCACCTATTCTTACTTTTTGCTTTTGCTTTAGGATTATGAAAGTAGGTCTTGGCATTTTGATGTTTTTGGGTTAGTGTAAAAATGTTGTCTAAAGCTATTACAATAAAACAGCGTAGTTGCCGACTACTGATTTTCCCGTTGTTGATAGCCATTGACTTGAAGTTTAGCCTGATTGCAGGAGAGTCTGGCTTAGTATCTACTTAATTGGCCCAACCTGAATTCCTTTTTTCAGCCCCTCCCCAAATTGTTTGACTTAAGAATAATAAGAGCATAATCCTTTGTATAAATTAAAGAGAGACACAATCTATTCATTTTTTACACAATTTGGAGTCTTGGACTATGGTGTGCTCACATCTTTGGTAAGGAGCAGCCAGGTGGGGTATTAGGGTATGGGTGGGCGGATGGCATTGATGTTTGGGGGACTGTATGACGGAATGGCAAAATAAAATTTTTTTGGATAGGTGCTGCTTCTTAAATTGTGCTCCAACCATACCAATGCAACTGCCCTCTCATTTATCAATCAAACCACTATCACGGGATGAGTACAGAAAGAAATCACTAGCGTACGAGATGAATTTTTACAACACTTCAATAGTAGAACAATGAGTCCTCCACTGGGGAAAATAATATCTATAATGTTTGTATTTTAAACACCATTTTTTCATCAATTGGCTTCAAGGGTAGAAACTCATATCACATAATGGAACTGACTTTCTTCTTCCACTCGTAGGTACTATTTGCTTCCGCATCTGGTTTCATAGCTACTTGTCACATTACGGCTAACTTTTGTTTTTGTTTTGTTTTGATCTATGTTGGCAGGTAGCTGTAATTGCACCAAACATCCCAGCCATTTATGAAGCTCATTTTGGAGTTCCAATGGCTGGAGCTGTTATAAATGCCGTCAACATTCGTCTGAATGCACCAACTATTGCTTTTCTATTAGGGCATTCACAATCAGCAGTTTTAATGGTGGACCAAGAGTTTTTTCTCCTGGCAGAGGAAGCTTTGAGGATTTTAGCTGACAAAAGCAAAAGCAATTTTAAGCCTCCACTTTTGGTTGTCATTGCTCATGAAAGCTGTGATCCAGAGGCACTCCAATATGCTTTAGGAAGAGGGGCAGTTGAATATGAGAAGTTCCTTGAAACAGGTGACCCAGAATTTGCATGGAAACCACCACAGGATGAGTGGAATAGCATTGCTTTGGGTTATACTTCTGGTACAACAGCCAGTCCCAAGGGGGTGGTATTGCACCATCGAGGGGCATATCTCATGGCTTTGAGTAATGCTATAATATGGGGAATGAATGAAGGGGCTGTGTACCTATGGACTCTACCCATGTTCCATTGCAATGGTTGGTGTTTCCCTTGGACACTCGCAGCTCTTTGTGGGACAAGCATATGCCTCAGACAGGTAACTTTGTGGGCTTTTTTAAGTGAATACAGTAACAAGTCTTACTAAATAGTAGTTATACATCTATTAGGTTGTATGGGGCTTATTTGATTTTAATAATTCTGATTGAGTCAATTTCATTAATAGTCATATCAAAAGCATTTAAGAACGCAAGCAGCAGACCAACCTTTAGCCAGTGCCGGCAGTAAAGCTTGGTAGGCAACATTAATCAGCTGGTTTGCAGGTGTGAAATATGACGAATGAGACATAATTCATGTGTTTTAATACTGTTTGGTAATTAACGTGAGCTTTTTCTTTTCTGCTACAGCATTGATTTTCATTCCTTCTTTGAAGAAGTTTCTTGATTACCTGTGGCTTGAGTTTAGGATTGTCCAAAGATCATCTAATTTATTTTTCTGCATCAAAATTTGCTTTCTTTAGCTTGACTAACAAGCTGGTTGCTTCCTCACATATGGATGCCCAACTACTGTGCTATATGTGTTTGCTCAGGTAACAGCAAAAGGTGTCTACTCAGCCATAGCCGTCAATGGTGTGACTCATTTTTGTGCTGCACCCGTGGTGCTCAACACCATAGTAAATGCTCCACAGGATGAGACCATCCTTCCCCTCCCACGGGTTGTGCATGTAATGACAGCTGGTGCTGCTCCATCTCCTTCCCTTCTCTTTGCAATGTCTCAGCATGGCTTTCGTGTTGCACACACTTATGGCCTCTCTGAAACCTATGGTCCCTCGACGATATGTGCATGGAAGCCTGAGTGGGACTCACAACCCCCTGAAACCCAAGCTCGACTCAATGCACGCCAAGGTGTGCGATATATTGCCTTGGAAGGCCTCGAAGTTGTCAATACCCAAAACATGGCTCCTGTCCCTGCTGATGGAAAAACTGTTGGAGAGATAGTGTTCCGGGGTAATGCTGTGATGAAGGGCTACTTGAAGAACCCTAAAGCCAATGCAGAGTCTTTTGCAAATGGCTGGTTTCACTCCGGAGATCTTGGTGTCAAGCACCCGGATGGATATATAGAAATTAAAGACAGATCGAAGGACATCATCATTTCTGGAGGTGAAAACATCAGTAGTGTGGAGGTAGAGAATATTCTATACCAACACCCAGCAATATTGGAAGTATCAGTAGTGGCAAGGCCAGACGAGAGATGGGGAGAGTCACCTTGCGCGTTTGTCACATTGAAGCAAGGAGTGGATAAATCTGATGAGCAACGATTGGCAGAAGATATAATGAAGTTCAGCCGATCAAAGATGCCGACGTATTGGGTTCCAAAATCAGTAGTATTTGGACCACTGCCAAAGACTGCAACTGGGAAGATTCAAAAACATTTGCTCAGGTCCAAGGCAAAGGAGATGGGATCTCTCAAGAAAAGTAGGTTATAATTGTAATGCTCTGTCCAACCAAATAAAATGAGGTGGTTTCCTCATCTTTTCTTTTTCTTCTTGGGATTAGTACTTTACTTTGGTGTACAAATTTCTTCTTGGGCCTCTCTCTCTCTCTCTCTCTCTGGTAAGGAAAAAGTATCCAAAAGTACAGGATATCTCGAAGGCCAAAGGCTAACAAAGTACAAAGCTTTTATTGGTACTATAAATCTGTCGAGTATATAAGGAGGGTTATCTATAATACCAAATGTAATTTTTTGGTCAAAATTTACGATCTAGTTCGGTCAAGTTACGATTAAAACATGGGAAGTTATTACTCAATGGAATCGAGTTAGAAAGAAACAATCCCATTTCTTTTAGATTAATCTCCAAATTTTTAGGCCTTGTTGAGTGATGACTTAGTTTCATTGATTCATAATTCATCCCATAATTCGTTTGTTGCTTCATCACAATCCTTTTCCTTACCATATAGTTCACACTACAGAGTAACTATAAAGTTTATCCAATCCAAACATCAAACAGGAATTCAAGAGCAGGGCTAGTGCATGCATGCACACGTTGAACAAAGAATTTTTAAGAGGAATTTAAAGTAGTAGGGAAAACAAAGGACAAAGAGGGCCTGAACTTAGTTTTTTTTTATTACTTGGCAATGCTATCTTCTCACAGATGTGATGTTACACTTAAGGATAAGAATGTTCTATCCTGTTTGTTATCATCCATCTCTGGATGATAACTCTTCTTCGGGGTCTTTTTTTTTTTAACAAGTAAGAACCGTTCCAGCCATACAATTTTTAAAATTATGATTGTGATATAAACATAATACAAATTTTGATTGTGTAAATGTTTACAAATCAAACCCAACTACGATATCTCTTATAAAATTCAAATTTGGAAAGTAATTATAGTCACCCTTAATATGTAATCATATAAATTATAGACACAAATTCTTGAACTTTCATTACAATCGTACATGATCAGTTTCGTATCTCTTACAGATGATAGCGTTAGTGGGTCCTTAGAATTTATGGTCCAGTTAGGCCAGTTTGGGCCTGCTTTTTGGTCACATCTCCACACACACACACACACACACACACACACATGTCATTATCACATTAGTCAGCAAGTTTGTTTATTGATCTCATTAGTCATTGAGTTCACGTTACGTAGTTAAAAGAAGAAATTTCTGTTAGAAAGAAAAAAGGAAAAGGGTGGTTGTTGATGAACACAAGCAAAGCCAATGCAGCCCTTTCTTGGAGCTAATCTTCTACTTTTTTGGGCTAATTTACCAACGCTCTTTGGATCTATAGGACCAAATTTGAGTTCATGCAATGGATAGTGATATTAATTTGGTTATAATTTGAACTTAAATACCACGTATTACTACTTTCTAGCTATTGATTAAGTAACAAAAAATCGTCTCCATCACTTGTTCTTTTGACGAAATTGTAAACCTAAATAGTCTTAAATTTTATTAGAATTTAAATATTCAATTTGTGTAGAAACCAGTGTTCTATGCTGACATGGGGCCCCACTAAAGCCACATGCACACAGGACCCACTGTATTATCCATACAAAGCTAAAGAGTTCAATCATAGACAAACACAACTGGTGTTTGTTATTTGTTATTCTTTGTGGGTGTTAATGTGAACGTGGTGGGATAGGGATTCCAATCCTCTCAATCTGGGACTTTGTCCAAATTTTTTCTACTTTCAATCACATTCATTTAAGGTGAGATCCACAAGTTGGACTTGGACCCATGCGTGGGGCCCGATGCTTTAACTAGAGGTGATTGAATTAAGAAAAAAATGGAATTAAGAATATAGTTAATGTCTTGAATCTTTATGTCCACAAATGTTGCGAGATACGTTGTGATTGAACTTTTTTTGAGTGATTATGCTTATTACCTGCATTTACATAATAACTACGAGTCCAAAAATGCACATGATGGGAACTATATATCATCAATTGTCAAAAAATTATCCCATCTACATTTTTGAAGTTCAACCTTAAACGTATTGTTAGTGTTATAAAACTCCGAAATATACAATTCTTGATCATGTATTATGCATGTCCAAAAACAAAAGGGGTAGTAATTCACGCACTTTAAATGAAATGCTCATGATAAGGATCTGATTGCCCCGTGGTCGAGGTCTTACTCATCCATGTTACATAGTTCATTATACTTTCACTCAATTTTATTCAATAATCGATCATTTACTATTGGTTTAGTGGAATCCACTTATAAATAAATGATGGGTGATTAACTATTGGATAAATTTGAGTGAAAGTATGATAAAGAAAATTTAGATTCGTCGATAACATATCCATTCTCTTTCATAAAATAAAATTGTCAGAATTCTTCTAGAAGTACCTAATATCAACCACAATATCCCTCAAACAGGAAGGGTATGATTGATCCATTTGTTTTTTTGTTTGATATAGTTTTCCTCAATTTTCTCGACGATGGGTTACCTACGGTTTATGAATGGAGAGTCCACTATATTGGGTAAATCCCACTTGATTTTTTTTTTCTTTTTTTCGGTTTTTCTTCTTAGTTCATTCCCCCTGGGTTAGTGATAAATAGAGTATTGTCTAATCCTAATTGAATTTGTGGTAGATGATCTGTTATTAAAAAAAGACTTGAGAGGCATTCTTTAAAGGAGAAGCAAATAGCATTGCTTGTATGTGGATGATAGCTAGGCTTGACAGCCCATTCAGTTAAGCACCTATACTACACAATGAAAGTTCCAAGCCAGATAATATTAATTATAAATCTTCCTAGAACTAATTAATACTATTTCTAATCATACTTTCATTATTGTCCAGGCATTCCTAGGTGGGGAATACTATCCCTTTCGTTTTTAAGAAAAGCCAAGTATACTAGTCAAAAACAGAATGTTTTCATTACTCCCACATTCACACACATTTCTGTATATATATATATATATATATATATATATATATATGTAATTCTGTCAGTCATGTCGGGTGAAACGAATTTGTATCGACTTTTAATAGGTTCGTGTTAAAAAATATTTTATCTATACCCAATTTATTTATTAATTCTTGTTTAACAAGTTGCGTTATATCATATTCATATCGTGTATCAATAGACAGAATTTTCGATTGTTGTAAAAAATACAAGAGAGAGAGAGGAGAGAGAGTTGCAGAAATATACAGTATTATGGTGGTAACACGACAAAGTTTTCATGCTTTATCAATGTCGGAAATTCTGATCATGGGGGATATCACGAGAAGCTGAAACTTTTCAGACTCATTGTGTTCAGTAACCGGAAAATCAACAACAAAACAGAACATGCTGCCCACATCTGTACTCGAGTGTAAATTATGAATTTAATACATCAAGCTTTCAACTACTGTATAAAGATATCAAGAAGAAAAAAATATTTAGAGATACTTCTTTTATTTTAGCAAACTAATTATTTGCTAACTTAGCTAAAAGTGCTACTTCGTGGGTTGCCGGTCCAAATCGCTTTAAATTAGATAACTTACATTTTAATTTTTTATTCTTAGTAAATCTTCTTAACCACAATAAAAAATTTACTTTGTCCCAAGTGTAAAAACTAGACAGTTCTATATTGCAAGTTTATAGCCTAGTTATGATTGAAAAAAGAGAGCAAACTCAAATCGAAAAAAGCCAAAACTTTTAGCTTTTGGAAAGAATACTTTACTTTACCACAAAAGAATCTTTCTTCCTAATAAAAAAAGAAAAGAAAATAACTTTGAAAAACGTTATCAAATGGTGCTTAACCTTTCTTTGAAGACTACTCGTGAAGAACGCAACGAACATCTTTCCTAGCCAAAATTTATCCATTTATGAAACATATACCTTTTTTTTTTGTTAACGAGGAGGGGTGTTCGAATTAATTTACACGTTTCTCAATCAATCTTTTTTTGATCCGATCAAATACATACTATCTATATCGACACTAAATATTCATGAAGAATAAATTTTTCATGATTTAAATTTAAAAAAATTACTAAAATTTGAATTCAAGACATCTGAATTTATAATTTATCCTTATTATTACTTACTCAGGATCCATGTACCAAACACAAGGATTAAATTTTCCATTCAATGTTATTGAATGTAAGACGTATTCCATCACATCACTAGTACTACATTTTCCAACTTCCTAGTTCAACCCATGCTTAATTATATGAGGATTATTCACCTGTCCTTGACTAAAATCACCTTTGTTTCTATCCTATAACACAACCTTATTATTCTCTCCATCTATTTACATATGTATTATTATAGATATATCTGTATTTAATTGTTTATACTGATATTGCAGAAATATATCCATATATATCTAGGCAACTACCAAATGCGTGTTGAACTTTCTCACTCATCTATTGCACACCTCTCTCCCCCTTCTCTCTCCCAACCTCTTTCTCTCTCTCTCTCTCAGAACAGAAACATCGTTTTAAGAACGACGTGGAAATTCAATCATGAAGACTGTTACTCCACATCACAGCCACCACTTAAACGCAACCTCCCTCTATATATACTCTTTCACTCCCATTCTCTCCATCACATTCACACTCACATTACTCCCCTCACAATATGGCTCAAAACTCACTTGCAAACCTCTCATTTCTCTTCACTCTCCTCCTCCTTTCTCTCTCCGCCCTTACCGGAGAATCGCGGCCGCCGTTTGCATGCGACCCAAGTAATGGAAAGACCAGAAAGTTACCCTTCTGTAGAGTCTCCCTCCATATCAAAGATAGGGTTACGGACTTGATCGGACGGCTGACATTGCAGGAGAAGATTAGGTTACTAGTTAATAATGCTGCTCCGGTCGAAAGGTTGGGCATCAAAGGGTATGAGTGGTGGTCGGAGGCTTTGCATGGTGTGTCCAATGTGGGCCCCGGTACGAAGTTTGGAGGGGACTTCCCCGGAGCCACCAGCTTCCCTCAAGTCATCACCACCGCTGCTTCGTTCAATGCATCGTTGTGGGAAGAAATCGGACGGGTAATTTACACACACGCACAGATATATAAATATGCTTTTCAATAATGTTACATAAATAGAAAGTCTACACAGAATGATGTGTTTCGTCAGTATTATATGATTCCAAAACTCAGAATTATTACCATCATTGAATTTGTAAAAGTCCATACATTTTGTTAAAAACTACAAATGAAGAACATTGTATTAATTGATTCTAAAGTATTTGTGGAACCATAAAGTTGTTCCAACTTGGATTTCAAAGATCTCTCTTTTTACATTCACAATGACGGAAGTCTCATTCAGTGAATCACGACATGTAGATATAGCATTTCGGATTTTGTTTGCTAGCTATATCACAATTTCTTGCACATATTTCACCCATTAGCGTGCACACACACATGGATGAACTGCAATAACAAGTTATAGTCATTGCATTATTCTTTTTAATTGCTCTTTTCAGAATTTCACTTTGCTGGTCCAATCAGAAGTGCCATTAAAAGGGGACCATTTTTCTTTTCGTTGTCCTTTTTTTAATATTCATATTTTGATGCCTACTGCTAACATGGTCACAAGCCAGCTTATATATATCTGTTGCAATGGCGAAATAAAGACATTGACAGACCAGAGCTGTTGCTTTTGCATGTGACTGATGGCTTAGGTATAATAGTCCAAAAAAAAAATGTTGCCAAGAAGGCCATCTTTTTCCAAATTGTATTTCTAAGTCTTACTTTTGTCCATACCTATAGTGCACTGACAGTACAGGAACAAAAGAATAAAGATAGGGGGGGCAAAAAATAATTCCTACCATATAGTAGATATGGGTCCTTTAGATTTCAAGATTTTTTTTTATTTGTTTCAATCTTCATTACCCATCATTAAATCATTGGCCATTGAGAGTTCCACAGTGTTCTCTGGTAAGCTAAAATCAACAGTCTAGGTTTGGAACCCTTGTTGCAGCCCTCGAGAAGTTGGAAAGTACCCATGTGGCACACCATCCACGAGCACTCCAAATTGTTCATTACATAACATAAATATTCATGTATCCGCTAATTATTACAAAAGCCCCTTTTAATAAATGTACTTAAGAAACAGTATACCATTCAAATCTACATATTGGTTTGCTTTGTAAGGTGGTAATACATTATGTTATATTTGGCAGTTAACAGCATGAACAAGCAAGAGATATTATTTCTGGTGCAAGTTGCCATGTTGCTTTCATTTCAGTCTCATTTTACGAGGTTGCCCATGCAAATTCCATGTCAAAAGGGACCACGTCCAGTGTCCATCATGGGTTTGGATAACCATTATTATAACAATGATAGTATGTACGTATTTCTACTTTGTTAATTTTTTTGGGGGAGAAAAAAGAAAAAGTGAGTTTGAATCATTGACCTGAAGAAGACAACTCTTTCACAAGGTAAGGAATACTATTAAACCAAAGGTCCATTAACAAAAGTTGAATTCGGGAGAGAGAGAGAACTTGAATCATTGATCTCAAGAAAACGAAATTTTCACAAAATAAAGAGTATTATTAAATTAAAAGTCCTTTGGTTGACGATAACCCTCGACCACAATTTCTACTTTGTTAATTGAGGGAATAGTTTAAATACAAACCTAACTTTTAGATTTTTTTTTTTGTAAAACGACTCCTATTAGATATGAACCCGTAACGTCACAATTGTTTGCCCAAGAATTTTAGGGCAATTATAGATTGACATAACATACAACAAACAAAGAGGTCGACGAATGACGTGACTTTGAGTCGCTGTTGACATAGAGATCTTTTTTGATTCACTTTTACTCTTTTAAAGTTTAAATTTTGTCTATCATACTAGTGCCACATTATTTCATTCTTTTCTTTGTTCTCATTTTTTAGTCGGTCTACCATTGTTGTTTTCAATAGGGTCATGTTCTCCAATTCCTATATTCTTTTGAGAATTGTTATGGAATTATTTATTAGTGATAAAATAAAAATAGTACAAGGACCTTATGATAGAGATCATTGAAAGTGATATGCTATAACATTGCTATTAGCTTATTTGATTACTACTTTCTTCTTAAAACTTACTGCAATTCATACACATGCCAAGTAAATTGCGTGTGAACTTGGAAAAAGTGGGTTGATTCTCTTGACGGGAGCTTTGAGTCTTAAAGACATGATTGAATGTTTTACCTACTTCATGTGCAAAATCAAACTACAAGAATATTTTACATAGGTGACAACAAACTTAACGTTCTTGTTCTTCTTTTCCTTATTCTCATTATTAATTATATGGGTTTCTAGAAGGGTGGGATGATAGATTGGAGTTTACCTTACACAAGAATATAGAGGGTCTACTTCCACTCAAATGCTCCGTTTTTCACCTTTACTTTCCTCCTTGGTAGATCATCCATCGTGTATTAGTAAGGATTCCACTAATATATAAGATGTTTTATAGTGAAATTCATGATAAGTGATCTACCCAGAAAAAAAAAATAGAGAAAAAATATATTGCAGGAGATCTCATGACTCGGAATATAGATATATATAACCACAACAAACTTCTTATTCTCCTTATTCTTGCTAATATTATGATTTCCTAAAAAACTAGAGTGTTTCATTACAATTTAAGTAGTACTTGTATGTATGTGTACATATGTATTAATAAGAATATTACTAAAAAATAATAAACCAATATTAATTTAAAAGAAGAAGGGGAACAAGAATGAACAATAACTTAAAATAATACCGAACCGTTCCATTTTCACACAACTATCAATATATTTTCATCCAATCCAATTATTTAAACCCAATTAACTGACACAACTTACTTATGCAATCCGCTACCGGTAATACAACGACAATAATAAATTAAGGAAATTGAATATAAGTAACATACTGTATATATTAATTTCATGCAGCATGTTCCACAGGGATTTGCATTGATGACTTGGGCATTGTTGTGCAGGTAGTGTCCGATGAAGCAAGAGCAATGTACAATGGAGGAATGGCCGGTCTAACATATTGGAGTCCAAATGTTAACATATTCAGAGACCCAAGGTGGGGGAGAGGCCAAGAAACTCCCGGCGAGGACCCGGTTTTGGCCGCTAAGTACGCGGCCCGCTACGTCCGGGGACTTCAGGGGAACACAGCAGAGAACCGATTGAAGGTTGCTGCTTGCTGCAAACATTACAGTGCCTATGATCTTGATAACTGGAACGGCATCGATCGCTTCCATTTCAATGCCAGGGTAATGTACTTTTGACACTGATCTCTAATACCAGATCTAGGTCGATCCTCTCTCTGATACAGTCAAAGAAAGAACAATGCTATGGAGATCTAAAAATTTGACCTAATTTGTTGATCTAATTCACTGTAATATTTGGATTGACTATAGGCCCTATTAAATATTAGAATTTGATATTGATCCAATAATTTCTATTAAGCCACATCATTATGTCAGTAAATTATGTCAAATTTTTTAGTCCAAATAGTATTACTCGTCAAAGAAAAATTATCTACATCAAAATTAGAATTTTCACGAGAGATTTATCCGTCATTGTTGGGTCCTAAGGAATTGCACCACTTCGTCCTTATTACTACTTCAATTATTGGAGTTCAACTTTACCCATAAAATAAGCTGTGATATAATCTGAGGTGTCGCTTTACTAACTAACGAAATAAAGTCATGTTCCTCGTGAACTCCGTCACCTAGGTGAGGGTCCTTCCCCCTCCGAGTAGTCAGTCGCCAAGAAGAGAAGAATCTAGCGCCACGTAACTATACAACTATATAACCATATTTGCCACGACATTCAATTGAAAGAACATGAGCCATCGTATATATCTTTTCATGTAATAGAGACTGACAAAGGATTGGGCATTAATTGAATGTCTTCTAACCATAACGCTCTCATCTTTTGTTGATATATGCAGGTTAGCAAGCAGGACTTGGCGGACACATATGATGTGCCATTCAAGGCCTGTGTGGTTGAAGGCAAAGTTGCGAGTGTTATGTGCTCGTACAATCAGGTTAATGGCAAGCCCACTTGTGCTGACCATGATCGCCTTCGCGGCACAATCAGAGGCCAGTGGCACCTTAATGGGTGAGCCCCAACTGTTTGATCTAATGTCTCTTTGAACTTTTAAGCACGGTGTCAATTTTTTTTTTTTTGGGGAAAGGGATAGGGGCGACCAGTAACTTTGGGAGTGACCACGAGGTATTGCCACTGTAAAATGTTCGGTTTCTAATCAAGTTAATTCACGGATGACAATTATAGAACTTATAACTGTGTGTGTGTGTGTGTTTTGGGCGATGATTTCTTTGTGGCTCAAACAGATACATTGTGTCGGATTGCGACTCTGTTGGGGTTCTATATGACAACCAACACTACACTACCACACCTGAGGATGCAGCTGCTGCCACCATCAAAGCAGGCTAGTACATTATATCCCTATTTTACGTTATCACTTTAACTATCACGCTTCAAATATTATACATTCAACTATGATTTTTAGTTTTATATTATACCATTAACTATTACGTTTTTCATATTATATTTGCAACTATGATTATTGGCTTTATATGGCACTATAAACTTTCATGTTTCTGGAATAATAAATGCAACCATGGGTATCGGTATTAGTTTCACATTACTCAAAAATCAGATAATGTTATTTGTAGAATGAAAAGTATCCATCGGTGTAGTAAAATACACGTTTTAATGTCACCAAATATTACTAACACCCGTGATGTTGTAGATGAAAACTTTATGTGCAATAGAATTCAAGTCTATGACTTCAACAAACGGGATAATATGAACTTAATTTAAATAGTTTAGGGGACAATTTTAAAAATTCGATAGTTGATGGGATAAAAGGACTTCTACAAATGGGATAATGTGAACTTAATTTAAATAATTGAGGGGATAGTTTTAAAAATTCGATAGGATAAAAGGGGATTGTGACCATAGTTCAAGAGGGTCAAACTGTAATATATCCTTCATATTGATACAAAACCTCTTAAATAAACTCTTGTTAGTAATGGCTTTTTGGTAATTACAGGTTTGGATTTGGACTGTGGGCCATTCTTAGCCATCCACACAGAGGCAGCGATACGAACAGGTAAACTAAGCGAAGCCGACGTTAATGGAGCCCTAGCTAATACGCTTTCGGTCCAAATGCGTCTGGGTATGTTTGACGGTGAGCCCAAGAGACAGCCCTTTGGAAACTTGGGCCCAAGGGACGTGTGCACTCCGGCCCATCAACAGCTGGCCCTTGAGGCGGCCCGACAAGGCATTGTTCTGCTTCAAAACCGTGGTGGGTCGTTACCGCTATCCACTCGCCGTCACCGGACGGTAGCCGTCATTGGGCCCAATTCTGATGTTACAGTCACCATGATCGGCAACTATGCTGGTAGGTCACTTGTATACGTTTATGTACACACACATGTTATACTCTATTACATGTGCAAATATTAGAACTGGTTATGGGTTGCGTAGCTTTTAAGGTGCAAGCAATAAAAAAAATATAATTTCAACGATATCTTTCAGTAAAGGAATAGTTCTTCCCTTGATGGTATATCAAAATTTTATTTTTTCATTCAAGGTTATGGAAGGTTAATTAAATCTTCCGTCGAGGTAGCATTTGCCTTCCCGGGAATCAATCTTTTTTGGAATCGGGTAAGGCAAATGCTATTAACAAGCAGGGGTCCAAGTCCAGTAGCCTTCCTACTTTTTAAAAATCTCCCCCTAGAAGTGGCACTCGGATTTCTTATTGCCAGGTGCAATAAGAACGTCATTTCTAAGCCTCTTTGTGAAGGGTGAGTCATCTCTTGCTTGACCGTAGTGATAATACTGGTTCAACTTATATTCGATCTATTTATAATTGTATGGAGCGGTTTATAAGTCTATTAAGCCTGGTTGGTATCAACCTATTTACTAGTTTGCAGATCCGATGACCTCTCTATGATCTGTATAAGCTGAGTCTATCCTGGCTATCTTTATGCGAGAAAAAAATCATCACCATAATTTGATGCAGGGGTTGCATGCGGGTACACTACTCCACTACAAGGTATATCAAGATACGTGAGAACAATTCATCAACCAGGGTGCGGTGGTGTTGCTTGCCGTGGGAACCACCAGTTTGGGGCTGCCGAGGCCACTGCTAGACAGGCAGACGCAACTGTACTGGTGGTGGGGCTGGATCAATCGATCGAAGCAGAAGCCAGAGACAGGGGCGGGCTCCTCCTGCCGGGACAACAGCAGGAGCTCGTATCTAGGGTGGCCATGGCTTCTAGAGGCCCTACTGTGTTGGTGGTGATGTCTGGTGGTCCTATTGATCTTTCATTTGCTAAGAATGATCCCAAGATTGCAGCCATTTTGTGGGTTGGTTACCCTGGTCAAGCAGGTGGAACTGCTATTGCTGATGTTCTATTTGGAACAACCAATCCAGGTATATGCATTTTTCCATTTTTTTTTCAATATAAAGAATTGTCCCGACTATACATGCTTTGGATTCATTGTAGTACGAATTCCATAAGTATAAGATCATCCACAATCCACACATGGAGTAAGATACTGTTCTTTTACAAGAGTCCAACTTATCTCAACTATTTTATGAGTTAGGTATATGTATGTTGCACATCCCCTACTGATGAACCCGGTATAGCGGAAATTGGTTCGTGTTCCAGTCAGTCATCTTTGCCCAAGTTTGAATTGTAGATGACTCTCCAGTAGATCCATTTCTTCTTACTGTACTTCTAGGTTAATCCAACCCGAATGGGAAGAAGAGGGTCCACTTTGTATGTTTGCTAAGCAGACCCAATCAGAGTTTATAAAGTCCCTATGATCCAGTCTACAGAAAACAGATACTTGCTATAGTCCTATGGTCTGCAAGTCAGATGTGGATCCCTTTAATACACGTTTTTAAAATTTTTCTCAACGATAGATCACCTGTTATAAACTTAAATGGGTCACACTATATATAAGTGCTTCCTCCAATAATACACATTAGGTAAACCACCATTGAAGACTTGAGGGAACAAATATTAGAGGTTCTGAGTCTCTAAAAGTCATTAGCTAGTTAACCGCTCTTGTATGTTTTATTGTACCAGGAGGAAAGCTGCCTATGACATGGTATCCGCAGGACTACGTGGCTAAGGTGCCAATGACTGATATGAACATGAGAGCAGACCCATCAAGAGGCTATCCGGGTCGAACCTACCGTTTCTATAAGGGTTCTGTTGTCTTCCCATTTGGGCATGGGCTTAGTTACACCACCTTTGCACACTCTCTAGTCCATGCCCCAGCTGCAGTTTCTGTCCCTCTAGCAAACCTCAATGCCTTCCAAAACTCAACCATATTCAACAATGGAGTGAGGATCACACGAACCAACTGTGAGAAACTCAACCTAGGAGTACATGTTGATGTGAAAAACACTGGCGACGTGGACGGAACACAGACACTGCTCGTGTTCTCAACCCCACCTGCCGGAAAATGGGCTCCTCACAAACAATTGATAGGGTTTGAGAAAGTTCATGTGGTGACAGGGGCTCAACAGAGGGTTATGATTGACATTGATGTGTGCAAGCATCTAAGCGTGGTGGACCAGTTTGGAATTCGAAGAATTCCAATGGGTGAACATACTTTTCATGTTGGTGATCTAAAGCATTCAATCTCTCTCCAAGCAGCTTTAGAAGAGATCAAGTCTTAATAATTTCAGAGATTGATCATTATACCATATTGGGTCAAGAATAAGTGTTACTTTCTTCTTTCCAACAGCAATTGTAAATAACCAATTGGGTCTTAGCCCAGTTGGTCACCTGATTCTCCCACAAATAGGAGGTTAGGACATCCATCCTTACCATTGTCTGTCTTTGGGTGTGTTCTTTGTACGTAATAAAGCTGTGTTTTATTTACTCTGCAGGTATTGCAGGTATATTGTGAAACATTGTAATATTGATACGTCTTTGCAAATATATATATAAAACAGCAATTGTAAATGATTACGTAGCACTAGTCTTCGTGTTATTCTTTTTTAAATCAGTAATACCCCCAACCCCTCCCAGGCCTCCTCACTCCCCTTCCCCCCCCCCAAAAAAAAAAAAAAACTTCATCGTTGCATTAACCTTTATTTTTCACCACCCCTTAGAATGTGTAAGAGAGAAGAGAGCAATAAACCTATCTTGTGAAATAAGCTGCCGTGCCTCACTTTTCTTCATTGTCGATTCAATGTCTGAAACATTGGTGTAATGTGGATAACAAAACTCTTGTCTCATGGAGTCAACGGCGTCCAAAGAGTTATTAGATACCCTTTTTCAAGGACTATGTTATTCATTGAGCTCTTCTACTGGATATAAAACCTCTTAAATTGGTTCAATATTAAAATCATTAAAACATTATCTTCATAAGGCAACAAAAATAGACTTGGAAATGATCCCTCCTAGACTAGGAAACTTACAACAATGGTTGAGCAAAACAAACTACTAAGGCAGCCAAGTCTTTGACTAAAACAATGATTCATCCTCTTTGAAAAAAAAGTAACATACAACATAAAATTATTGCAACCACACATGCGAAACTCATACAATCTTAACAATAATATTATTGAGATTTAAAAATCTGACATAACCTGTTGACTTAATAGTGTTTCATTGTAATCATTACATTAATATCAAGTTCCAATGTTTGATAGTGTTTACAATCAATCCAAGTGCTATAATGAAATTAAGTCCGAATAAAATTTCTCTACTCTCAATTCTCACCCACCACCTGGTGCTTCCTCCCACCAAGAATTTGGATTTGGGTCTTATTTTCATGGAATTATTTCCATTTGTCTAAGCCTCTCCACCCAAAACCCAATATTCTTGAGGGTATTAGCATATCCCATAAACCCAAATTCTTTGCTCTTGTTCATGCTACAAACATGTTGAAACTCAAAATGCAAAACCATTTGTAATGCATCAAAACAGGTGATCTCCTCCATCTTTGTCCTATAAAGCCCATGTTTTTCCACTATATCATCCCAAACTTTTCCCTTATCTGTCATCATTTCTACCCAATCAAACTTGTCTTTCTCATCAAAGGGCACGGGCTCAAGATCAAAGATCTTGCAAACCACTATCCAAAAGCTCTTCCATGTAAAAACATCACCATTTGTGCAATTGAATGCTTGGTTCTTGGCCTTGTCTGTCACAGCTGCCCATATTTGCTGCTCAGCTAGTAGTCCTGCATCTGACATATCGCAAAAATGTTCCCAAGTGTCCCGGTTACCAGGATACCTGTTAGAAAAACAATAAATACAAAGTTTACCGTAAAAGTACTATTGAATTGAACCCTTAAAAGCAAGTGAATCACATAAGTACCTAAACGGCAAGCCTTCGTGCTTGCATATCGATGCATACATGGAGAGAGTAAGCAATGAATTATGAACACTTCTTGAAGACGCGCCCATGATTATAGAAGATCGATGTATGGAATATGTAAATGTCTGCGCGTAAGAGGCTATTATGTCTTCCAATGCATAGTAGAAGTTGGGGAATGGTAGTCAAAGGTACTCTTCTTGGAACGGTGGCTCGTGAGGTACGAGTTGATCTGAGAGAGATAAGTCGAAGACAGGTCCCATATAGTGTTTGGTGCCTGTTTGTAATGTGATGTGTTGGAGGTTTGAAGTTGGTGAGGATGAGTTTAGGACATTGAGGACATTGGTGAGCATGGTTGAATTGAGTTCAACGTTGAGTTCTTCGCTTTATAGGAGTTTGAATGCAACCCAGAAGACGTGGGTGATTTCTGAGGATATAGGGGAGAGCTTTTCATTGGTGTCGCCGGAATTTATGGCGTCAAAGGTTATGTAGTGGTGGAGGAGGGAGGGTGGGAACCAAGTTGGAAGAGGACTTCTAGATGCACCATAGACCTTCCATGGACCGCCAAGAGCGGTTGGTTTCTTTTGAGCTTCGGCCAAGGCTACGCCAACCATGCCGGTCACGCCAACAATCAGAGCTACTGCTCTATGACTATGAGGGTCTTCTTTCTCCATTACTACAAAAATTCACACACACACACAAAGGGGAATGCAAATTTCTTGAACAAACGTTGATGTGATGTGATGTGACGTGGTACATTTAATAGAGGAAGGGAATCAATTGTATATATGCCATCTTTTAGTCTTTTGCTAGATTAATTCCCCCTGGATCAAAGATAGATTACTCGTACCAAAATATTTATGAAAGATAATTTTTTTATGATTTAATCCCAAAAAATTATCAAAATTTAAAATTAAGATATCTAAAATTACAGTACAAGATATCTAAAATTACAGTCCGGCCCTCAAAATTCGTTTCGCATATCACCATAAAACAAGATTACAAGAAGGAAAATTCCACAAGGCAGGCAGCTAACGACAGATAAAAATAATACAATTTCATGGGCCTGCAATGTTTTTGGCAAATTGTCATTGTTTAAGAGAAATTGAACTCATTTTTATAAATATTAAAGCATACTCTTATACATTTTAGTTTTTTTTTTTTCACTTAGACTTTATTAGCGTTTTAATGGAGTTAATTTTTTTCTTATGAATGTCTAATAATTTTTTTTTTGTTTAATGGCCAGGGTATCTGAATCCAAAAGTATTAAAGAAAGGAACGGGTTAAAGTCTATTTATTGTCGCACGAATAATTAAATAAGTTAAATTAGAATTGTTTAGTTCATTCCGGTAACCGATATGGTTCCACATTCATTTAGTCACAATGGGGAACTAGTAAATGCCCAAGGATTGGGAAACCAGTCCACAAGAACAGGTAGAGATTATAAAAATAGAGGCCCAATAAACATAAAGTTTATTTGCTTGGGTACCCAAGTAAAGGCCCAAAGTAACCCAATGCCTAAGATTGGGAAACCAATCCACAAGAACCGGTCGGGGTCATTAAAAAAGGCGCTATAAATAAACATGGGTTAATCTCATTTTACATCCCGAAAGATTGTTCGAATCTTAATTTATACCTTCAAAGATTAAAAATCTCAATTTACACCCTCAAAGATAGAAATTTGTATCAATGTGCACCCCCAAAGATTAAAAATCTCAATTTACATTCTCAAAGATAGAAATTTATATCAATATACACGCCAAAGATAAAAAAATCTCAATTTACACCCTCAAAGATAGAAATTTGTATCAATGTGTACCTAAAACTAAATTGATAAATTATACCTAGATCCCCTCATACTTGTCACTTAATCATTTAGACCTCTTCACATTTAAAATATTACTCCTACATCTTATGACATTTGTGCACGTATAACACGTAACCCATTTTCATTGATATCTATTAATATAACCGTTAAAAAATATAATTTTATCCTAATAAAAAATTATAATTTCACATTACCCTTTATTTTATGGGTTCAATATATTCTAAAGTTCAAAATCTAATTTACTATTTGAATGTCTAATAAAATGTAAATATTTATATAATGTTTTTCATATTACCTTTTATATAAATATCTACATTTTATTAGACATTCAAATGGTAAGCTTGATTTTCAACTTTAGAGTATATCTAATCCACAAAATAAAAGGTAATATGAAATTATAATTTTTTATTAGGATAAAATTATATTTTTTAACGATTATATTAACAGATATCAACAAAAAATGGTTATGTGTTACACATGTACAAACGTCATGAGATATAAGGAGAATATTCTAAATGTAAAGGAGTTCAAATGATTAAGTGACAAACATGAGGGGATCTATGTATAATTTATTAATTTAATTTTAGGTGCACATTGATACAAATTTCTATCTTTGAGGGTGCAAATTGAGATTTTTTATCTTTGGGGATGCACATTGATACAAATTTCTATCTTTGAGGGTGTAAATTAAAATTTTTGATCTTTAGGGGTGCAAATTAAAATTTGAACAATCTTTTAGAGTATAAAATGAGATTAACCCAATAAACAAAACGTTGATTTTCTTGGGTATCCAAGTATAGGCCCAAAGTGAACAAAAAAGCAGACAACAAAGCCCGAATATAAGGGCCCACGTTTGATATGGGTAAGGATAATTTCCAAAGTGGAACCGGCCCATAATAATATAGATAAGATAAGATAAGAAGCAACCATAATAATATAATAATATAAGATAAGATAAGAAGTAATTATAATAATATAATAATATAAGATAAGATAAGAAACAACTAGCTTACAATCAAAGTAAAATTAAACACCTCCACGTGGCCTAAGGATAGGGAAGAGAAAAGATAGCAGTAGCTTTGACCGCTTAGTCTATCACACGCACACAAGCGTGATTATTACACGCGACTCCAACCTGACCGCTGTATGTTCAGAGCGATTCCCGACATTTCTCCGGCTTAATCCTTTATAAGAATTTCTGAACTCTTACAAACTCCATCGTAGCATACTTTCCACGCAAAAGCACCAGGAATCAGTGGGCTACTCCGGTCACGGGAGCAATAACAACTCTGATGATGACCCCATAGCCGTCCGACCAAACCCTCCTATATTTAGGGGATGATGTTCATCTTTCTAAGACTTTCCATCCATGTCTTAATACTCTTCATCGTATCAGCATACCCAAAAAATCCGAATTCACGACTCTTGTTCATGATACAAACATGTTGAAACCCAAAATGTAATACAGTATTAATAGCTGCAAAACAAGTGATTTCACTCAATTTGGTCTTATACAACCCATATTCCTCCACAATACTATCCCACACTCCTTCTTTCTTCTCCATCTCTTCCACCCAATCGACCTTTTCCGTCTTGTTGGAGTATAGATAGTCTAGGTTTATTAGGATTTCTTTTCTCTTTTTTACCCTTACTATGATTTTTATATTTTGCCTAAACTACAAGGATGTTTAAGTCACTCTGTATTATTTTTGGCTATATATACTGGACTCTACTTTGAGTTTGAGTATCCCTTTCACATATTTCAAGTTGGTATCAGAGCCAAAATCCTAGCCTCCATCTCTAAGCCTAACCCTAACCTTAACCCTA